GGTCATCCACAGTGCGTTTCCAGAGGTCTTTTTTGCCACGTACCATCCGGCTATGGAATGAGCTCACCTCCACGGTGTTTCCCGAGCGCTATGACATGTCCTTCTTCAAGCGTGGCTTGTAGAGAGTATTAAACGGTAGGCAGCGGCTTGGTTCTTTCCCTGGCATTGCTGAAGTCCATGGGCGACGGTAACCAGTCACCATCAGGTGGGCCGTATGCTCGTCTGCCTACAAAGGCATTAAAAAAAAATTTTCAGAACAGACAAGATAAAGTGCAATAAATCCCCATTTAAAAAACACAACGCTCCAACTTTAATTAATTACAAGAGAGAATCTGAAAAATGTCAAGTTAAGAACAACTCGTGTGTAATTTTATTATGTTCATGTATTTTCGGGTGTGCCATAAATCCTTGGGCTGTAAACATGCCAAGCGTCCTAATTGAATACTGAATCGGTGGAGAGTGGAGCGTTTAAAAAAAATCTCATTTGCGGTGGACACGTTACGAGATTACAGAGTTACCGCGCGCTTTGTTTAACAAGACTTTTACGTTTTAACAGTCACATGTAGAAATACTTTGCAGAGACGGATCTAGATATTATTATAATATATCTTTAAATATAAAAATGAATGCTGTTCGTTAGTCTCGCTAAAACTCGAGAACGGCTGGACCGATTTGACTAATTTTGGTCTTGAATTATTTGTGGAAGTCCAGAGAAGGTTTTAAAAGGTTTAGATAAATATGAAAATGCTCGGAACTAAATAAAAATAACAATTTTGTTTCCCTTTGATGTGTCCCCCGTCGGACGGATTCATTTTGTTTGTTTTAAGTTTATTTTATACAAAAGTTTGGGTCTTTTATTTCTCGATTGAGGCACTACGAAGTCTGCCGGGTCAACTAGTGTGGAATAAATTATTAAAGGCCTAATAGTCTTAAAATTTTCAGAGTAAAATTCAAGTGGTTCTTTTAAGATATTTCGACTACCGAAGCACCGCTTCTTGTAAAAATGGACAGAATATAAATGTATCATTTTTTCATCAAATTTATCAAATACTTGAATGATGAACGTCGCGACAATTTGTCGTTTTAAGTGAGTTGTATTTTGGACAGTAAATACGTAAATTTTAGAATTCATCAATTTATCGAACGCGCTCTTTTTCTCTAATTAAATGACACCGTGTAGACATGACTAGGTAAGATTTTGACATTACTTTTTAATTATTTTTTCTGAAACAATTAGTTTTCAGAATAGTTTTAGATTGTGAAAATCGATCCCGAAAACTACTGGAATTATCAAGACCTACATATTCATCAAGTGTAATTTAAAAATGAAATTGAATTCAAATATAATGACAAATATTTGAGTTCGTCCCTGGTAGGTGTGGTGTTACCTAATTTACTTAAACTCGCTCGTCGGCGTATCGTTTCGGTACAATCGCACAGATATACGACTTTATTTCATTGTGAAAGTTTTGTTTTGCTAAAATTCCAACAAATGAAAATTTAACACAACGAACATTGACGTCATTTATTGTGCCAATCTAAATTATTCAAATTTAAAATTTTGGAGTAAAACGAAAAGCTGAAACATTTTTGAAAGCAGTATGTCTTACAGCACGAGTTAAATATTTATATTCAACCATTGTTGCCTCATTATATTACACAACATCAATATTTTTAGGTCCTCAAACAGCCTGTCAATATTGGCGACTCATAGACAATTCTCAATTTCTCAAGTATTTTCACACCTCCTAAACTGAATGACATAATTTCTTCAAAGCAAAAACGAAAATAGAAATCCGAAAGAGAGTTTGTAGGAGTTTAACATTAGGAGAAAACTATAAGAGATTTAGGGGTTAGTAATGGCTAGATATCTATACCCTATTTTTAATAGCAGTATCAAATATCATCATGTCCAATGGCCTTAATGCAAGATTACTGTAGATAGACCCGTAAAAAGTAAACAAGGTCAAAATGCTTTTATTTAATACAAGCGGCCCGCTCCGGCTCCACTCGGGTCTTTAACAAAAAATTCAACAACATTTGACGATGTTTTATTTTTAAAAATAAAATAACACTTATTGCGGCATAACTATAAGAGTTACACATATGCTGTCGCGACACTTTTTGTAAATAATAATGTGTTCTACACAGTCGTAGTACATTATTTTATTCTATCATCAATGGTTTTCGCAGGGCACGTGATGTAAAGAATATTTTAGGAAATTTTTTTACACTTTGGGTTACATTATTGGAGTTTTAGTAAGGATCCCTAATTTTTTTCAAAAAAGTTTATAGCCTACGTCACTCGGAAATAGTGTAGCTTCCAAACAGTGAAAAAAAATTTCAAGTCGGTTCCGTAGTTACTGAGCCTATTCAATACAAACAAACAAACAAATATTTCCTCTTTATAATATTAGTATAGATAATATAAATAGACTAATCGTTTCAAGAACAATTAAATGCACCTTTTTGAATCGAAATATGTGCCCATGCGTTTAACTATTCCGATATTGATTCGAAGTTTATATGAATCAATTTTGTCCAAAAAAAAAACTTTATGGAAATGTTTTGCATTTTCTGGGTATTAAACAACGAACCGATAATTTAGCAGTTCGAAACAGTTTGTCGTTACAGCTGTTTTAATGAATTCTGCGAAGTTATTGCCGAAGCTACGCCCACTACGAGATCGGTTTGAAATTTGTTAGTGAACTGTTTGTGAATATGGTTTCAACGCTAAACGATAATTTCGATTGAAATTAGCCACTAATATGGCATTTATGGTTAGTGATTTCCATGTATAATTGGGTAAATGGTATTGAAAGCAAATATGTTTAGAAGATATTGGTTTTCAGACAAGCCATTTTTCTAACATTAGATTTAATTTAAACGAAATCATTTATTCTGTGAATCGTATTGATATGTGAGATGCATTAATCAGATAAAGTCCCAGAATTGGCTTTTTTTATTGTGAAGCGATTAAAAGTCCTATGGAATAATAACAGAAGGATGTAATTGAATTTTGAAGTGTTTCTCCTGAGGTTAGTTCGTGGCGGGACCTCCGTTTATATTTGAGCAGTATTAGGGAAATTCATTTGTCTTATTCCTCCAAGAGTTAAGTCTGCAGTTCCCCTCGTCATCACAGTTCATAGGCAGGAATGTTCTCAATGAAGATTATATAGTAGTCCATCCACTCGACTTACCTTGATGCTTTGTCTGATTAATTTTCCCCTATTTATCATTGTTCATAGAATCTCTAGTTTCGCTTTCTTAATAACGTTAACCTATCATGTTTTTCTATGGTCACTAATTATATGAGTCGTGACTGTAATTAGGAGCTTTAGGGCGAAAAGCTCACATGAGTCGGTAAAAACATCCTTATTTCTACTGCGCATAAATCATTTGACGTACGAAATAAAATATCAAAATTTATCGTTTCAAAACTTCAATTTAAACAATGGTTTTTTTTCCCTACAATAATTTTCTTGTGCAAAATTTTTTACTATAAAACGATAAAGTATCATTTTACTCGAATGAATCATTGTCAAATTCTCATTTTAATCCGTTAAGTGGAAGCACTAAACAACGTTTGTATTTCAACACCGTACTTTCAATTCCTTCCTCTCGGCTTCACAGTTCATAGACAGGAATGTTCTTAATGAAGTTAATTTATCTAGTAGTTTTCCACTCGACTTACCTCGATGCTTTGTCTAATTAATTTTCCCCTATTTATCATTGTTCGTAGAATCTCTAGTTTCGCGTTCTTAATAAAGTAATTGTATTACAATAATACCTGCATTCATGATAAGTTCTCTGATCCGTTTATGTAATACTTTGATATAACTATGAGTATTAATGTATTGGGAATGTAATTATAATATATGTATTGTTCTGTAAACATTGTATGGCACCTTTGTTCTACTTTTCTTTCAATATTGATTTTTTTGGAAGAAGGCTCTGTGTTAGCATCACCTTTAAAACTAAAGTGATTGATATTGTGTACAATGAAGTGTTAATAGATAAACGCTTGATGTAAATTACAATGGTTTTCTTTGATATTTTCTCAGAGTTGAAGATTTAATTTCTTTTAAATCTATTCTATAATTAAGAGAAAGTTAAATAATTTAAATGACATAAAAGTTATATAGCACAATTAGTTAGTTTTTGAAGTGAAACTTCCTTATCGGCGTTGGAAAAAAATTTACCGTCACATTTTTCGGTTACGCGTCACTTTTTTCCGTTACGCGCCATCTGTTTTGTATTCATGTCTATGATAATAAAATCCTTTTGTTTAAACTTTATCTAATTTAACTTTTTTGTATTCATGTCTATGATAATAAAATCCTTTTGTTTAAACTTTATCTAATTTAACTTTATTTAACCAATTTCTAGAAAGTTGCATGTAGATCATTTTTCGAAAAATAAGGCCATAAACAAGTTTCACTTCTTACGTGTGTACACTAGTACACGCACACATTTTTTATAAAAACCTCTTTGTAACAAGGATTATCACAAAACAACGACTATTTTAAACTTGTACGAAGTTGTATGGTCATTGTTTTGGCATGTGGTATTTAGCTGTGATTTTTTCTTTCTTACAAACAAAATAGAAAATTCCAGTCACTGCTGAGGAGACTCTTTCCTAAATATACCTACCAAATTCCCGTTTTCATTACGTTTACAAGCTAAAGACCGGTCACCGTCCTCGTCGAACCCGTCGCTTGCGACGAAGGGCTCGACGAGCGAATTAGCCCATAGACAAAGCCCACTGAGTTTCTCGCCGGATCTTCTCAGTGGGTCGTGTTTCCGATCCGGTGGTAGATGCTGCGAAGCACTGCTCTTGCAAGGGCCAGTGTTGGCAACACTCCGGTTTGAATCCCGTGAGCTCACCTACACGTTAGGGTGAAGCTGAAATAGCTTCTCAAGGCTATCAGCATAGGTAGTAGGAAAAAAAAAGCTAAAGATACACAAACAAAAAGGGTTAAAGGGCTTTTTGTCCTCAGATGCGTTCATGGCGACTACATCAAGGTTTATTCTGAAGGGATCCACGGGCCTGGTCCTCCTGGCATCAACGAGTATTCTGCCTGGTCGAGGATAATTTGCGGAAGCAGAGTCGATGCACCTCCGGCACTGTATTCCCACGGACCTGTTCTAGTTTTAGAACTACACACGGGAACAAAAGCATCAAATGCCACTGGATTTGTCGGGACGTATAGGTTTATTGATAGAAGTGAGTATGGAACAAAATATATACATTAATCTAGATAATTACATTTTAAACTTTTTAAATACTCATGAGTTCTATAAAAAAATGATTGTGTGGTTTTATGAAACCACGGTAAAAATGAAACTTTTTTTCACATTATAGACATTTAACTCTAACAAACAACATTTACATAAAACACTGACAAAAACAAACAAAATAGCGTGGAGCACTGGCACAAATGAGTAATAGTCATAACGGTCAGCTGCTGCGAACTATAGGCGCCGCCATATTGGCCTTGGCTGCTCTGACGAGCGCCTTTCACTTTATCCCTACTCCGCGGTCGACCATCACGCGACATGCAACACACGGACGAAAAAGTTTGAGACCATTTAATAAAAAAGTTTCACTTTAATAACTCTGAATATTTTTCGCACAATGTATAAAACGTCTAAAACTAAAAAGTATTGATTAATTAGGAATGAAACGTGTTAAATTTCAAACTTCGCTTAATGCGTTATTCAAAGAATTATCTGATTAAAATAAACTACACAATGCAATTCTGCACAATACCTACAATTTCAGTTCAATTTATAAGCAAACTGATTGTATTAATTACTCATAGATATTAACCACTAGTTTAGAGAGAATCAATTATATTTATCTTTCCCGTGACAAAGCATTTAATTCTACCCACAGGTTCATTTGTTATTGGCAGAAACGAAAAATAAAAAAAGTTTTTCGAATACTTTGATTTTTTTCACAGATTTCGATTCATCAACTACGTCAACTCTAGAAAAGTTTAAAATTTAGTAAAAATCTTATAATTTTCTATTAAGTGACTCTTCTAATTTATGGCATTCATTTTCATATATTTTTTTTCTCTTTGTTTGATCCCTGACTGCTTCAATTACAATAAACGAGGCAATTAATTTGCCTGCCGCGCAAATAACCTGAATAATATCGGAATTAGCGGCCAACCTCTCATGAATAAAAGATTACGTAAAGTGAACAGTTCTTTTACGTCACATGCCCTTAATTTCTACAAATTAGGCCGATCTCCCTTTCAAAAGTGAGTGCTAAATAGTCAGAATGAATTATAGAGCTTTTGTTTCACATATTGTTGTCCCTGTCAGGATATAAGTTTATGGTTCACGCCGTAATGAGCAGTAGCCGTCGTAGGACCTCTTGTGAGTCCGCACGGGTAGGTACCACCACCTATTTCTGCTGTGAAGCACTAATGCGTTTCGGTTTGAAGGGTGGGGCAGCCGTTGTAACTATACTTGAGACCTTCGAACTTATATCTCAAGGTGGATGGCGCATTTACGTTGTAGATATCTATGGGCTCCAGTAACCACTTAACACCAGATCGGCTGTGAGTTCGTCCATCCATCTAAGCAATAAAAAAAAATCGTGATGAAAGAGGTACACAGATGAAAGGTCCCTTCAATCAAGCGAGAATCAAGAATCTACGAGTGATTGATATCCGAAGCGTGTTTTAGATACAATCATCTGTTCGTATTCGATAAACTATTCATGTGTTAACTCGGTTATTAAATTTCTCGTCACTTAATAGGTAAATTAATTTACGAAGCTATCACGCATAGTACTCAGTAATTTGTGTACGTGCCTTTTTTTAATTATTATTTCCTGTCTCACTAATGTCAACTGTTCTTTATATTTCGTTGTCTGCCTGGGTAGGAGCTCAATGGTCCTTTTTCCTGCCTAAGCCGAGAGCCTTGAGAGGCTATATCAGCGTAACCTTAACTAGTAGGTGAGCTCACGGGGCTCAAATCTGACGACGTTGCTAACACGAACCCTAGCAAGAGCCGTGCTTCGTACAATCTACCACCGGATAGAAAACGCGACCCACTGAGAAGATCCGGCGAGAAACTCAGTGGGCTGTGTCTGAGGGTTAATTTACTCGTCGAGCCCTTCGTCGCAAGCGACGAGTTCGACGAGAACGGTGACCGGTGCTTGAGGTACCTAAAAGCACCGTTAGTGGATCGGGAGGATCCGAAATGACGTGTGAATGGTCAGTGATCGACGTCGCGCATGGACATTAGCTATACTAGCTTTCGAAGCACAAGTCATGATAATCAGAAAACAAGTAATAAATACAACAGGGTGTGATCACTACCACCCAGACACAAGACAGAAACAAGTACAGAGTGAGCACTAAATAATCCGCTGGCGCTAAGTCACGTGTATTCCAGGATAAAACTTATGTTTCTAAAGGAAACTTTGAAACGGACGGCATCCGAGTCCCGGACACGTGGTGCGACTACGTGTTCAACTCGCAGCCGAATAGACCGGTACACGGTCGCCTGTACAGTCCGAGATACCCATCGAGCTACCCCAGTAATATGCGGTGTAACTATCATTTTAATGCCAGGTACGTATTTAGGACAGAGTTTCCCAATTAGTGCTGTGTACACGTCAAGAGCTACGCGAAGCTGCTTGAAACGTTGTACGCGTGGCTTGATTAAGGTAATTAATGTCCTCTAATTAAAAGCCCCGAAATTGCACACAATAACATTTTTAAACATCAATTTTGATTAAACATATTACCATAGCATACGGTAGGCAGCGGTTTGACTCTGCCCCTGGCATTGCGGAAGTCCATAGGCGACGGTAACCACTCACTATCAGGTGGGTCATATGCTCGTCTGCCTACAAGGGCAATAAAAAAAAGCAGATATTAAGGACTTCAGTTATTTCTTAAAGCGGTTTTAAAATATATTTAATGTGGGACCTGCTGTCCCGCTTCCTTCTAAGGTCTTATTTCTATTTAAAAGTAACTCTTTCATTCTCTTTTTCCTCCTCTCCGAATAATGATTTACTATTTTAGTAAGAAGTAAAGTTAAATCGAAAATATTTAAATAACATAGATAGACCATATTTTCATAATGACGTCTATGAATCAGTAAAATTTGAATATGGAAATAAAATAAATCAATATCATTTTATATTCCGCATGAATTCGTAATTTGAATTATTGAAAATTATTGATAGTGGAGACGTAATTGGAAAATTTGCGACAGTGAATGATTTGTATTCGCTGTATTTCGATGAGAAACAAATTTACGTTTTATTTTTAAATTTTGTTAGTTCATTTGAAATTTTCATGTAATATTCTGCGAACCAATTTATTTCAGACAAAATGAAAGGATCAAACTAGTTTTTGACGAATCTTTTCTTCAGAAAGGAGACATGAGGTATGTTTGTTATTATAATTTATTCAAGTGATAAATAATGCGAATTTTGGATTGCCAAATTTTCTTTTCTACAGGAAATCTACAGATTTTTTTATAACTTTATCACAATGGAGAAATCATAAATTCTAAACACGATTTTATAATTTGATATTTGTGTCTTTTTAATTAAATTTATTTTTTGAAAAATCTAATTTTCAATTTTGTTGTTTGCTTAGTCTCTTTTCTGAATTACTTGATTAGTTGAGACAATGAAACAGTCAGTTATGTGGGTAGAATTATCTAACTATATATTTAAAAATGAATTGCTGTTCGTTAGTCTCGCTCAAACTCGAGAACGGCTGGACCGATTTAGCTAATTTTGGTCTTGAATTATTTGTGGAAGTCCAGAGAAGGTTTAAAAGGTAGATAAATATGGAAATTCCCGGAATTAAATAAAAATAACAATTTTGTTTCCCTTTGATATGTCCCCCGTCGGACGAATTCATATTGTTTGTTTTAAGTTTATTTTATACAAAAGTTTAGGTATTTTATTTATCGGTTGAGGCACTACGAATTCTGCCGGGTCAGCTGGTATTAAATAAATCAATACATTTGCAGTTGTCTGAACCGGGCGGACATAATAAAAGTGTTCGATGGTCGAACGTCAACCGCACCTGTACTCGCGATGCTGTGCAACGAGCTTATTGGTAACTTAATAAGCTTGCTTTTCTAGAAAATTTTATTTGGATGTCACTATTATTTTCAATTCAATAAAGACTAATACTTAATTTCTTTTTTTTTGTTTCTATTGCCCTAGAAGGCAGATGAGCATACGGCCCAACTGATGATGAATGATTACCGTCGCCCATGGACATCAGCAAAGGAGAGCCAAGCAGCTGCCTGCGATTGGGTGTGATGGAATGAATTAAAATGAAATTACAAGAAATTAAAAACTTGGTCTTAATTGTATTCCACATTTAACTCCGACTTCCGGTTTGAAGGGAAAGCTGTACAGATCCGTGCAAGCCTACAATACCTACATCCTAATACCAGTTAAAGCCAATCTCTAAGGTCATAACTGACTTACAATGATTTTTATATAAATCCATGGAAAATATATAAGGGTGTGAAATAAGACAATCTTTTTTTTGTTTTTTGCATTGATTGGTGTGCGTTAAAGCTTACATTGCGATTTCCGTCACAGTACAATTTGTATTGTAAAAGTTAATTTTAAAGAAACTGTGTTTCAATATTCTAAGTCCGATATCTTCGTAGTTTGAAAATGAACAAACAAATTTTGGTTTTGGAATGTTATTTATTTGATTTTTTCTCTTTAGGTTTTGAAATACTATCGACAGGGCCTGAGCTACTGGTGCAATTTACGGCGAATTCCGATACACCAGGCCAGGGTTTCAAGGCCAGCTATCAATTTCAAATGCAATATAATTCTAATACAGGTTAAGTAAGCACTGTGGTGTGTATTTTTTTTTAATTGTACCTCTCAAAGTAAATATCATTTTACTAGTCATCAGTGCGTTTAGGCATTTCAAGTATCGGTCATCGTTTTCGGAGAACTTTTCAAATACGACGTTCAATGTGCAACTTAACCTACAGACACACCCACTTAGTTTCTCGCCGAATGTTGCAGTGGATCGCGATTCCGTACTCGCGGTAGATTCAGCGAAGCATTTCTCTTTCTTTATCTGCCATGCTAGCAATGTCTGTCAGGCAGAGCCCCGTGAGCTCTCCTATCAATCCGTTGAAATAACAATAGGTCTTCGGAGCCACTTGTATTTAGTTTAACAAAATAAAAAAAGTACTTGCAGTCGGAATTTTTAAAGACATTGGTATTTCGCACCTACACATAGATGAAATTCGTAATTTGGTAACATTGTATATTATTTTTGATCTCGTAGGGAAACTCCGAGTATAGCCCTCTCTATTGCTCTTTGGAATCCGCTGGACGCAAGCAGTGTAGGACCGGTCTTTGTGGCGAGGCTTGAGGGAGGCCTATGTCTAGCAGTGGACCTCTGTGGGCTAAGAAGAAGAAGAAGTATATTATCATGGAAATTTTCCATATTTATTCGATGTAACGATTATTTTAATGAATAGAAAATCTTCTATCTATCTATGTAACTTTCAGCCCACAGACGTCCACTGATGGACATTGCCCCCCCCCAACCCTCCGCCACAGCGAGTACATAATTTAACAAACTGTACAGTAATAATTTTTGAAACTGCTAACCTTGATAAACATTCTCATATCACAGATGGGGACATTAATAAAAAATCAAGCACGGCCGACGCAATATCCGGATTGGGCCCAGCTGTGAGTGCTGCCAGTAAGTATTAGATACTTAATATACATATGACTTACTGTTTTGTGGATATTTTTTGATGTAAAATATTTATAGCCGCACGTAAAGCCGATCGCATATGATAGTATATATTATACAGTCTATAGTTTTTTGCTTCACGTGAATGACTTACTTAGGAAATGTTAATTCGCTTTCATTTACGGAATTATTTATATTCAGAGGCAGAAATTGATCGCTACGTCTGGAGAACTTTCAGAAATAAAATAGGAAGTAACGGGCAATGTCACAGCCTAGTCTTAAGCAGCCTAGTCATCAGACCCCATTGTCACTATAATGTTCACTGTCAATCTAGACATCAGTTTAAAGTTTGAAATATACCGGTTATATACAGAAAAGAACAAAATAACGGTAAAAATAATCGGGACTTAACGAGCCACTGAAGATAATATTATCAAGTAAACATTAATAATCGTAGACTGATCATGAGAAATAAGAACAAAGCTTAAGGAGGCTCGAAGCAGTAAAGTAAAAAATATCAAAAAAATATATTAATATCTGCATATTAATATATTTTTTTGATATTTTTGTCAAACATCAAACAATTATAAATCATAATAATATATAAATAAATTTCGCTTAAAGATCAATTTGCTATGAACACAAAAATTCCACATTAAATTCTGGAAACAAAGCCCTAAGCTTAAATGGGACATGAATTCTTGCAAACCCATATAAAAACGCTACTGGCATTTTAACTACCAGATAATACCCGTATTTAAAAACACTGCCTTCGCGGTTCCTCTTAATAGTTGAATTACCCCATATTTTACGTCTCGGGACCAAAAACTTGGCAAAGAATTGGCTACGCAGGCTTTCTATCGGGATTTTGTTAAAATGTTAAATCAGCTTTGACCCTAACGACTTTAGGTCAACGTAGTATTACAATTAAACATATGATTTTAAATTCGCAGGCTAGTGCAATCTTAGAGAACTAGTACTGATGGCACTACTTACTAGTATTTTTTTATTGCTTAGATTGGTGGACGAGCTCACAGCCCACCTGGTGTTAAGTGGTTACTGGAGCCTATAGAGATCTTCAACGTAAATGCGCCACCCATCTTGAGATATAAGTTCTAAGGTCTCAAGTATAGTTACAACGGCTGCCCAACCTTCAAACCGAAACGCATTATTACTTCACGGCAGAAATAGGCAGAGTGGTGGTACCTACCCGCGCACTCAGAAGAGGTCCTACCACCAGTAAACACACAATAGTATACACACAATACCTTATTGCTTCATAATATAATAATACTTTTCAAGCCGCTTAAACTTCAATTAATCTTAATCTATTAAAATGTGTTTTGGGAATTATTTTAGATACATTATAAAAATATCCTCTTTCCGATTCTTTAGCAAACATGGAATAGTTATTATATTTTGCAACACATAGACACTTCACAAAAAGCTTTGTTGTCAAAGCTTGGTCAGAATTTTGGTCATCTAAAATGTGCATGAATTCTGTTTTATTTATGAATGAATAACTATCTAAATAAAATACTATACAAATTTATAATCAATGAATAGCTTTAAAGTTTAAAGTATTCAAAACTTGACGCCAATTTTTTGGATTCATCGAAGGTCAATATTTGGTATAATACTTCAAGTTATTATGTTATAAACCTATGAATCTTATTGCCTACAATGGCCGACAAACATACGACATATCTGCTGGTAACTGGTCATCGAGGCACATGGACATCAAGAACTCCAAATGTACTACCTACCAGCGCTACCTTTCTATATAACTTAACGATTTTCTGCGCTACAAGCATTGCCGTATTTTTTTTTATTTTTTTTTTATTGCCTTTGTAGGCAGACAAAGCCACGACCAGAAGACAAGACAGTTCAATTATTTATAAGGTAATTTATGAAAAACAAAAGAAACATTATCTCACCAACACTATTTTTAAAATGTTTCACAAAACACCCATTTACTGAATTCTTACGACTACCCCTACAAATGGGCTCGGTTAACTGTAGTGTTCCAAAAAAACATGATCTCGTAAATATTCGCAGCATCATCGTGCCATCAAGTACTCAGCAGCGACAAGAGCAAAAGCGGCAAATTAACATCTCCGCTGTACCCCTCGCCGTATCCACAGAAGACGCATTGTCATTATGACTTCATGGCGAGGGGAAGGGAACGCGTTAGACTCGTGTTCGAGGATTTCAGCTTACAACGAATAAGCGACAGTGCTATAGAGTGAGCATTGAAATTCACTATTATATTAAGTTACATAATATTATGCTGCTACTTTTTAAAAAAAAATGTGGCTCTTAAGATTAGAAATGTTGCCAAAGAAATACCAAGTTCAATTTTAAATTTGTTCATGTTTTTGGAAACAATAATGTGGGCTTAGGAATAATGTTACTACTTTTTTTTTTAAAATGTGGCTCTTGATATTACCATAGAAATACCAAGTTCCAAATCGGTTCATGTTTTTTGAAGACAATAATGTGGGCTTAGAAATTATAGCTATATTTAGAGGCATAAACATCACCTAAGTACTTAAATAGCATACGGCCCACCGAATGGTAAGTGGTTACCGTCGCCCATGGACTTCAGCGATGCCAGGAGCAGAGCCAAGCCGCTATCTACCGTTAAGTTAATGTGTCAATGCCAGCTATTTTGTAAGGAATATATATTTTCTAGAAAAAATAAATAAAGGCAAAGTAGTTAGACAACTAAGATCAGAATCCACATTATTTGATTTGGTCAAGGGAAACTTTAGATCACTATAAATAATTAATCACTGCCAATCAGTTACAGTTGAAGTTCCATCTTTGTATACTAGCATATTGTTTAATAGCCTTTCATATTCGAAGACATGACTCTACACAAAACTAGGCGATACCTACACATAAGGGTTTAGTATACGCCCTATGACCAGCAGCAAACTAGATACATATAAATATTCACTAACAATCACGCCACGTTATCTGGTCCCGTGATAAGTTCGTAAAGAACTTGTGTTACAGGGACCAGATAACTGAAATAAATGTAAGATTTTTATTATGCACATACATATAGTTAAGATACATCCATAACCCTGGAAAAGACATTTATATTTATCATACAAATATCTTCCCTTGGCGGGATTCGAACCCGCGACCCCCTTGTGTAGTGACCATGTCACTTACCACTACACCAGACGGCCGTAGATAGATAGCTTCTACAGTTATGAATTGAAATTGATATTTCTTAAAACTCCATACGCAGATACAAATAACAAAACATTTCCATCTAATTTCTTATTCTTCCTGCAGTTGCGAAAGCTCGGATTCCATAGATGTATTTTTGTACGTGGACGGGCGGCTTGAGAAGATGGCGTCATTTTGCAACGACACGCCAAAACCAATAATGTCGAATGGACCAAAGCTATCCATCGAATTCAGGGGGATTTTCTCTTCGAGGAACTCCAGGGGTTTCAAGATATCGTATTATTTTGTCGAAGGTTGGTTTCACGTTTGATTTATTTCGCGTTTTCGGCGTCGAAATTTAAAAATACATTCGGTTCAATAACTTTAGTAGTAATATTTATTGATCTTAAGAAAAACGCTAATATTAAATTTTTATATACCTTGGTAGTTCGTATATCTTTAAGAATATATAATCCATATGATTTTGTTAACGTATCTACAGTAGCTCACGCGGTTCTTAAAGTATTTGCTTTCTTGTTTGTTTCAAAGTAAATATCAAAAAGTGCTAATGACAAAAAAAATGATATGAGTTTACTGATGACATTTTTTGGGGCTTTTTTTTGATAATGCTATAAATTTTACGGGTAGATTTTGCAATGAGAACAAATAGCTGTATGGAATGTAGATAATAGCCATTAGTTTTTTTTTACGAAAACTTACCTTCTTTCTTTATATTAAATTGGAGTAACATTAGAATATCTTAATTTCTAGACTACGCTATTTCAACGGGAATTCAGCTACAGGAGTTTCCGTGTGCCTTCGTATACAATAGCAGCGAACGATCCAAGGGTGTTGTGACGTCACCGAATTATCCCGGCTTCTATCCTCGTGATACCGAATGTAATTACTTCTTCTACGGCCACGAAAATGAAAGAGTCCTTCTACACTTCACCTACTTCGATGTTGAAGGCGTAATGCCGTGAGTATTGCTATCAACTAAGATTTAATATTACGACGTGGACTTCAGCAATGCCAAGACTAACCAAGTCACCGCCTACTACAATCAACTCTTTTGAAACTGTCTTTAAAAATGTCCTTATCATAGTTCTCGGCAAATACCTAGGAACAACGGAACGCAAACAAACTTGGCCAACAAGCAAACAAACTCGGTGAACGCAAGCAAACAAACACTCAGCAAGCAACGGAAAAAAATAATCCCATTTCTCCTGCATAACTTGCAATATTTGTACATAGTAACTACTTTTACATACTCAAAGTGCATTTACACAGCTCAACCGTTATTTATTTTTTTACAATTTATTTGTCTTCTTATCAGATGCGAGGCGGTCTCGGCAAGCGACTACGTACAATTTTCAAGCCAAATGATAGACTCAAAAAGTCAGCGCTACTGTGGCCAGCTGAGGGAGCTTCAAGTTACGTCAGATAAAAACTTCCTGAGGATCACATTTAGATCAAACGATAGGCTAGACGGAACCGGCTTCAAATGTGATTATATTTTCTTGAGAGATTCGGAGATGCACAGCATGACAATGCCAGATTCTCATGACAAGGGTGCGTAGAAATGTTACTATAAGTTCATGAATTAAAAACGACTTAATGCTCACAGTATAATTGCTAAAAAAACATTTGACATTCTATTACGCGATGGACCTTCATCGATTGAAATACATACGTTCTAATTATTTTGATACAATGAATTATTTACATCCCACAGTACGTAATACAATAAAATTTAAACTTCAACCACATGCCTTAAAGGTTGGCTATTTTGGGTACTATTTGAAATACATAGACGTAGAAGGCACGAAAGATAGAAACCGCATATATATAAATGTTTTGTGGCAATCCCTAAAATATTTTGTAGCTGCGCCAACGGACTTGAGAATCAATTCTATTCACAACAACGTGGTTCAGTATCAAAATATTTTTCTACCATTCGCTTATTAACAAATCACTAGATGATGACCGAGCTTTGCTCGGTTTTTTTTTTGATAACGCCATCTTATTGTGTCTTTAAAGCGGTTCGTTGCCCTCAATTAAGAAAAATAGTATTATTATTCGCCAATAGATTTCGGGAAGAGTTGATTATTGAAAACACGAATAAAACAACATTTTCTGAAAATAAATCGTAGCTAGATCGATTTATCGCCCCCGAAATCCCCTGTATACTAAATTTTATGAAAATCGTTGGAGCCGTTTCCGAGATTCAGATTATATACATATAAATTAATATACAAGAATTGCTCGTTTAAAGGTATAAGATTAAGATTGGAGTTAGTCGAGAGTTATCGTTAAAGATTGTTCAAATACATTATGTTTGAAGATTTGCTGCTGGTGTGTATTCTAAATGTTTTTAAAATTTTGTCTTATATAATAACGTTTTATTTGTTACAGGTACAAATATTCGGTTAACAAAATTGCTATTGTTAATTTGTTTTGAGTTCCGAACGATAGCATTCAGATAATAGGAAACGTGCAATTTGTGAAATCGAAGAGAATTTATCTGTGAAATAAATTATGTTACTAACTGAGCCTTTCATTTCCTATTTGTGTTTCATGCTTCATTTAGTTTAATTAACAAATATTTTGTCTGTTATTTAACTGGTAATAATGGGTTTTGTTCGAATTCTAATATTTTATAAACTATGTACGTATGTACATCGAATAAAGAAGTATTATAATATATTATCATATTACTAGGGGATGACCGAGCTTAACATGGATTTTTTTTTATAAATTGTTTTTTTTTAGAAATTATATTTAAATACGAATTACATATTGATATTATATTAAATTATTTGTTATTTTCTTTCAATAAAAAAAAAAGTTTATGTTTAAGTTGATTATCGATAAGTTTGATTATTGAAAACACGAATAAAACAAAATTTTCTGAAATTAAATCGTAGCTAGATCGATTTATTGCCCCCGAAATCCCCTGTATACTAAATTATACCTGTATACTGTATATTATAAACATCGTTGGAGCCATTTCCGAGATTCAGATTATGTATATATATATATATACACAAGAATTGCTCGTTTAAAGATATAATAAGATATAGAATAAAGAGTATTAAACTTAATCTAAAAAAATTTATTAGATATCAATGATATTTTAATTGAAATCTATAAATGGTTAAGGTTGCTAATAATATATAAGTATAAATTCCTCGGTACTATCATTCCACTGGTCTGGTGGAACTGGCACTACATTTGAGCAGTTGCATTGACTCAATCATAGTCTACCTTAAGACAACATTCAATCGCATTGATACAGTCACTATACTGACCTTCAAAGCATTTTTTTTTTCCTACCTATGCTGATAGCCTTGAGTGGCTATTTCAGCTTCGCTCTAACATGTAGGTGAGCTCACGGGGCTCAAACCGGAGTGATACTAACACTGACCCTAGCAAGAGCAGTGCTTCGCAGAATCTACCCGCGGATCGGAAACGCGACCTACTGAGAAGATCTGGCGAGAAACTCAGTGGGCACCTTCAAAGCAAAACCTATGAGCAGTATTTTACTCTTAATAAATCCGTTAAGAAATTAGCTTTTTCTTGCCGGAGATGGGAAATCGAGCTTTGAGCCCACCTTATATCAAGACATATCTAGGACATAATAACATGTATGGTAGCCCACCCATCCTGAGGTTTTGGGAATATCTAAGTCTCAATTGTATTGATCAAGTGATACTTTTGCGGCAAACATCAATGGGATTGTGGAGATATATCCACGAGGGCTCATATTACATCCTACAAGTCGATTAGTCCGATAGAGAATTGATAGATATTCCTGTATGCTGATATTTAAAGTCGTTGTGGCCAAAAGGATAAGAAGTCCGGTGTATTCGTGTTGAGCGATGCACCGGTGTTCGAATCTCAGGCGGGTACCAATTTTTCTAATGAAATACGTACTCAACAAATGTTCACGATTGACTTCCACGGTGAAGGAATAACATCGTGTAATAAAAGGCAGCGGCTTGGCTCTGCCCCTGGCATTGCTGAAGTCCATGGGCGACGGTAACCACTCACCATCAGGTGGGCCGTATGCTCGTCTGCCTACAAGGGCAATAAAAAAAAAAAAAAAAAAAAAAAAAAAAAAAAAAAAAAAAATAAAAATCAAACCCGCAAAATTATCATTTGCGTAATTACTGGTGGTAGGACCTCTTGTGAGTCCGCACAGGTAGGTACCACCACCTTGCCTATTTCTGCCGGGAGGCAGTATGCGTTTCGGTTTGAAGGGTGAGGCAGCCGTTGTAACTATACTGAGACCTTAGAAGTTATATCTCAAGGTGGATGGCGCGCTTATGTTGTAGATGTCTATGAGCTCCAGTAACCACTTAACACCAGGTGGGCTGTGAGCTCGTCCACCCGTCTAAGCAATAAACAAAAAAGCATAGAGAATCTCTGATGCGTTTACAGTGGGCCGCGGCTTAGCAGTGCTCTCCTGTCATTGCTAATCTCCATGAGTGAAGGAAACTACTATCATCAGTTATGCCGTATGGCATCTGTAATCTGTTTAGTATGTTTGTTGTTGTATTTTATATTTCATAATTTGTTTAGTATGTTTAAGTAACAAATGTTGTTGGAATCTTAATTAAGAATAACTTTAAAAAAAACTGGTTATATCTTAAAAAAATATTAAAACATGCACCAGATTTCAAATAAAAAAGGAAGATTAATATTTATTCACGTACAAAAAAGTTCTGAGGTTCACATTTTAAAAAAAAAACAGTCGAATTGATAAGCTCTTTTTTCCGAAGTCTGATAAAAATCTGTAAACTTTGAAGATACAACAATTGGATATGGATGAAACGATGTAATGAAAAAAAAAAACAGTTGCTTGAAAAGTCTCGGACTTGCATATCAGTATCTTCCATTTAATAATCAGATAGATGTTTTATTTAGGTTTCTTATAATCAATATTCAAAGAAAAAAATATGATTAATAATCATTGATACAACTACCAGTAAAATCGAGAACTCGGAAAGACTGACTATCAAATTCCTTTAGGAATGATGCAGGAAATTAAATGTCTTCTCCCAGTGAGTAATCATGCAAATTTACGCCATTTACGCCCTGAGTTAAGTTAGGATCCTGATTTAAATGTACCAGAGAGTGCCCTTCGGATGTAATTGATAAGGTGATTTGAATATTGTTACAAAAATTGTCCTAACAAGGAATTTAACAAGCACAACAGATAATAATTTCATATTTATTATTAAGTCGTCGTGGCCTAAAGGATAAGACGTTCGGTGCATTCGTGTTGAGCGATGCACCGGTGTTCGAATCTCAGGCGGGTACCAATTTTTCTAATGAATTACGTACTCAATAAATGTTCACGATTGACTTCCACGGTGAAGGAATAACATCGTGTGATAAAAAAAATCAAACCCGCAAAATTATAACTTGCGCAATTACTGGTGGTAGGTACTCTTGAGAGTCCGCGCGGGTAGGTACCACCACCCTGCTTAATTCTGCCGTGAAGCAGTAATGCGTTTCGGTTTGAAGGGTGGGGCAGCCGTTGTAACTATACCTGAGACCTTAGAACTTATGTCTCAAGGTGAGTGGCGCATTTACGTTGTAGATGTCTATAAGCTCCATTAACCACTTAACACCAGGTGGACTGTGAGCTCGTCCACCCATCTAAGCAATAAAAACAATATTAAAAAATAGTCCATAGTTCTTTTTTAAAAATCATTAATGTAGCTTCTAACCATTTTGTAATATCTAGTTGGTTTATTTAATCAACGACACTGTTTTTGCATAATATATTAGGCTTTCTTCTTTACATTTCGAAAAAAATTACCCTGTAGTAAATCACAATCTCACTAAAAATTACATTTTAATAAAACAAAAAACAAGTAAAAAGACGTACATAAAATTTAAGAAACGCATAAAAAACATGATAAAAAACCAAAAAAATACTGTTTAACTACAGTAGTAGCTATTCCTTAATGTGATGATAGGTTTAACTTCGAAATATCCACAAAAAGTACAAAGTTTTCTTTGAATTATTCTTCTTTGTATACCCAGCATATATTAGCAGAAACGAATCCCTAAAGCGTAAAATGAGATTCTCACATCTGTCGTAGTAACAACGTTTCCAGGCAAACTCAGAAGCCAAGTCACGTACATATTGAAATCGAAATTCAAAGTTTAGCTTAAAGAAACTTGAGGAGAGCTTCTCGGGCGAGAATCCGAGAAAAACTTGTTAAGTTTGACGACTGCGAAATCGATAATGTAGCCAGATAATTTATTGTCACCTCAGACTGTAAAATAGATCTAAGTCAATTTAAGCAGTGAGCAAGCGGTGTGATTGTTTTAATTTATCAATTAATTTTTTCAAATATTATTTATGTTTTTGTTTACTGTTTATTGTTTATTGTTACATTATTGTTTACTTCCACACACAATTTTTTTTTATTGCTTAGATGTGTTGACGAGCTCACAGTCCACCTGGTGATAAGTGGTTACTGGAGCCCATAGACATCTACAACGTAAATGCGCCACACACCTTGAGATATAGTTCTAAGATCTCAGTATAGTCACATACTTACTTGTATTCAGTATAGCCACTAGGAAAAGCTGTAGATGAAGCGTTGTAGCTAAAATTTGGATCGGATGTGATTTGACAACTTTTCAAGCATTTTGACATAACTAAACAAATGAAAAATATGAACTTTCTATGGAAATAATACCGTAACGAATAGGTTTCATGTGAAACTTAATTTAAATTATAAAGTATTTAAGAAAATGCCTATTACAAATATATATAACTTCGAATACTAAAACTAAAAATCCTTTTCTTTATCTATATAGGGTGTCCCTTATAAGGCATCTCAAGTCAAGAACTGTAGGTAGTGTTGTATCAGAATAATCCATTCGACAACAAAGCTATGTTCATAAGTAATTAGTTTTAGAACAAAAAGAGACATAAACAGAAAATAACAAACAAACTATTCTTCTGCCAGCCCTTGATTTATGTTTTATCGTAGTCGAAAAGTAAGGATGGTCACATATCAAAAGCTGCGAATTTGTGACGGAAGTAAACATATTAATACTGGCCGTAAGAAATGAGCGCACACACTGAATGAAACGATTTTCTCCGACAAATAGAAAATGTCACTGTAATATCGCTTTCATTAAGCCCTATTTCAAACGTGATGAAAATCTGTATAATCTAGGTCCAGTTTATGTAAATGATAAATTGAAGCATTATTTTATCTTACAAATATTTATGTCTGTAAACCTTCGATCATCATTGTTGATCGATGCTGTAAACAAAGCTTAAGACTTAAGGAATAAAACTTATTAGAAACAATAATTAATGTAAAAAAATATTGTACAAACCCCCTTTTTTTCCCTGCCTAAGCTGATAGCCTCGAGAGGCTATATCAGCGTCGCCTTAACTAGTAGGTGAGCTCACAGGGCTCAAACCTTATGACGTTGCTAACACGAACCCTAGCAAGAGCCGTGCTTCGCAGAATCTACCACCGGATCGGAAACGCGACCCATTGAAAAGATCCGGCGAGAAACTCAGTGGGCTTAGAAGCCCCAACAACTTCGTATTGTTTTTAGAAGTCAAATATTATATGAAAACGCAGCAAACGCAATAGTTAGGCCGCCTTAATCTTTGAGTTCCGGTACGATAACCACTTAACATCAAGTGAGCTTTTACTTAGCCTTTACCTTTACTCTATGCCGAAAATCCTGGATAATATTATGTTACTACTATAGCCAAGTTACTACTGCTAACTTAATCAGATATCAAGAGGCTATAAGGCTCTTTCCTGGAAATAATGCGAATTTTGACGGTTTTTAACACAATATTCAAATGTCGACTAATAAGAGCTAAAACTAAAAAGTATTTGAAACATCAGAAATAATGAAATGAGAATAATAAATGCGGAATTAAGCAATAAAAATAGATTTTTTTTATTGCCTTTGTAGGCAGACGAATACGGCCCACCTGATGGTAAGTGGTCACCGTCGCTCACGGACGTCAGCAACGCCAGGGGCAGAGCCAAACCGCTGCCTACCAAAATAATTAATTGATTTCAAAAAATCCAAACAAAAATCCAAAAAATCGAATAAACAATGATAAAGTCAAATTAAATACAAGATTATATTTAAAACTCTAAAACACGTAAAAATTCCAATAGAAATAGCACGAAAATACATTTAGAATAACAATGTATTCCCTAAGCAGAGTTTTGAACTCATGAATTTAGATTACTACGATAATTTTGTAAGAACTATCGAAAATCTCATTAGTTAAAGTAATTCACATTAATCCCTGTTAGTAATTAGGATTGAATTTCTCATGATATAGGTTCAATAATAACCTAGACCGATCCTATATATAAACATCGCTTGTTTAGCCGCTAACGTCCTTAATGCACACAGCCCAGCAAAGTTATGTTTAATTAGTTTACATCAGAAGCAAACATGTCTTGAGGCGGTCCAAAGTTAAAATTATGAGCCTTTGGACCCACTTTCTCTAATTCCGCTGCACTAAGTGATTCTGGAAGTTAATGACTACTCCTCTAAACTTGAATTTTGACTTAAGCGGAATTTAGAGATTGAAGATTACTTATAAATCTGGATTTGTAACGGTGTTTTAACTTAAATTGTAATTTCCGGGAATCGTTATAACGGTTAACGCAGAAATTATTTACGTTGAGTTAGGGAGACACTTTTCGGACTGCTTAAGGAATATTTGTGTTATATTAATAATAATAACTGTCAAAATAACAGGACAAATTGTATTTGTAGTTTCTGTGTAGAACTTGAACGCCAGTTCGCCTTCAATTAAATTTACATTCCTAATAATTCGTCAGTATTATCTTTATATTAATTAATACGTGAAGCAAAAACTTTGCCCCTTTTTACGAAAATTGCGTGGACACAGGAGTATAAAATTTCCCACACTTATAGAGAGTATAGAGAAGGAGTGCAGAAAGCTATTTTTTTTTATTAAGCGTAAAAATACATTATATCTATAAAAAACATTACACACACTACTATGTATTTGACACACACACGCATGCATAGTACTATTTGTTTACTGTCAAGCTTTTCTTATTGCTTATAGTCTGTGGTCAAATTGAGAATAGATTAAATATTGTTTGTCTTTATTAATACTGGTGGTAGGACCTCTTGTGAGTCCGCACGGGTAAGTACCACGGCCCTGCCTATTTCTGCCGTGAAGCAGTAATGTGTTTCGGTTTGAAGGGCGGGGCAGCCGTTGTAACTATACTGAAACCTTAGAACTTATATCTCAAGGTGGGTGGCGCATTTACGTTATGGGCTCCAGTAACCACTTAACAACCAGGTGGGCTGTGAGCTCATCCACCCATCTAAGCAAAAAAATAATAATATTTTGTCTAAAGTAGTCTTGGCGAAATCTGTGGTTATAAAAGTATAATATATCATCATCATCATTTCAGCCTATCGCCGTCCACTGCTGAACATAGGCCTCTCCAATAGATTTCCAGTGCGACCGGTTCATTGCCACCTGCATCCAACGAGACCCAGCGCTTTTTACAAGGTCGTCGGTCCATCTAGTAGGTGGCCGTCCCACACTGCGCTTGCCAGTACGTGGTCGCCACTCCAGGATCTTTCTGCCCCATCGACCGTCCTCTCTTCGTGCTATGTGGCCGGCCCATTGCCACTTCAGTTCACTAATTCTACGGGCTATGTCAGCAACCTTCGTTCTTCTACGGATCTCCTCATTTCGGATTCGATCACGTAGAGAAATGCCGAGCATAGCCCTCTCCATAGCTCGCTGCGCGACTTTGAGCCTTCTAAAAAGATCCCTAGTGAAGCACCACGTCTCCGAGCCGTAAGTCATCACTGGTAACACACATTGGTTGTACGCCTTTGTCTTAAGGCACTGAGGTATTTTGGACGAGAAGACGTTGTGCAGTTTACCGAACGCTGCCCAGCCGAGTTGGATCCGTATAATATATAATTTAAATTAATTATAGTCGAATTTCGACTACCGGGGGACCACTAGTGCTATATAGTTAAATTGCAAAGG